TGTCTTCTAATGAATATATGTATATGCATTTTCTGTTGGGTAACTATCTCAGAGTAGAAATGCTGAGTTATAAGTTTGTATGTATTCATTTTTACTACATAGTGCCAAACAGTTTTCCAAAGTGGTTGTACCAAATTATACACAAACTAGAAGTGTGTGAGGGTTCTTGTTGCTTCATATTCTTGTCAACACGTGATATTATCTGTTTTTTAAATCATAGCCATTCTGGTATATATAATTGGTATTTTATTAAGGTTTTAATCTGTATTTCTATGATGACTTATGGAATTGAATGCCTTTTCATGTTTATTAGCCATTTGGTTAGCCTCTTTTATGAAAGCTTGGTTAAGACTTTTACCCCCCCTTTTTTTTTTCTTATTGGTTGGTCTGATTTTTCTTATTGATTTGTTGATTTCTGGAGATGTGCCATATATTGGATGAATATATATAATCTTATACCTTTATGGTTAGTCTTCTCACTCTCTTAGTGGTGCCTTTTGACAAGACACTCCTAATTTTAACATAGTATAATTTATTATTTTATTTTTCTTTATGGTTAGCACTTTTTGTGTTCTGCTTAAGAAATCTTTGCCTACCCTAGGTCCTGAAGATATTGTTCTATATTTTCTTCTAAAGGGTTTGTTGTTGCACGTTTCTCATTTAGAGTTACCACCCATTTGGAAAGTATTAACTGTGTACAGTGTTACTATCTACATGGATATTCATTTGACTCAGTACCATTTACTGAAAAAACAATGAGCAATTCTTTTCTCATTATATAATTCATTGTCATATTTGACATTAATCAGTTAACCATGTATGTGTGGGTCTGTTTCTGGACTTTATATTCTGTTTTATTGGTCTACTTGTATATCTTTGAGCTCATATTAAACTGTGTTAATGTAGTTTTCAAATAAGTATTGATATCTGGTAAAGAACATCTCTGGTTTTTCTGTTCTTCTTGAAGGTTGCTTTAGCTATTTGTTCCCTTGTGAATTTCCATATAAATTTTAGATTGAGCATATCAAATTGTTGGGATATTGATTGAGAATTTAAGGAACTTGACAACTTTTGAATAGTGTCTTGTAATCCATGAATGTATTTTTTCAAAAATTTTATTTTGTTAATGTTTTGTTCTAGTCAGTAGTATTTTGTAATGCAGTGGTAAATAGTATTACCTTTTAAATTTTATTTTTGGTTATTGCACATAGAAATGCAGTTGGGTTTTGTATGTTGACCTTTTATGCAACAGCTTTGCTAAATTTATCAATTTCAGTAGTTCATTTGTAGATTTTTAAAATTATATTCAAATATAATCATAGTATCTAAAACAATGCAACTTATTTTACTCTTTCCAATTCTTTTTTTTTTTTTTTTCCTTTTTGTCTTTTTTTCGTGACTGGTAACGGGATCACAACCCTCAGTGTCGCGCCTGCACTGCGACTGGCAACAGGATCGCAACCCTTGGTGTCGCGCCCGCACTGCGCTCAGCCAGCGAGTGGACCGGTCTCTATATGGGATCCGAACCCACGGTGGGAGTGCCGCCACTCTCCCAAGCGCCTCACTCCACTGAGTGCGCCACCGGGCCGGCCCTACTCTTTCCAATTCTTATACTTTCTGCTCTGACCTGAACTGTGTCCCCCTA